AAAAAATAAAAGATATAAATGGGACAGGAAAAAGTCAAACTACACATGAATGCAGGTGATGATTCTGTATGTAGGAAACCCTGCAGATGCCACTGAAAGATTCTTAGAACTGATAAATTCTGCAAAGTAACTAGATACAAAATCAACATATAAAAATTATTAATTTTTGGGCTGGGAAGGTGGCTCAGTGGTCGAGCGCTTGCCTTGCCTGCATGAGGCCCTGGGTTTGATTCCTCAGCACCACATAAGAAAAAAGAAGAAAGCTGGAAGTGGCGCTATGGCTCAAGTGGTAGAGTGCTAGCTTTGAGCTGAAGAGCTGAGGGACAGCGCCCAGGCCCAGAGTTCAGGCCCCACGTACCCCCACCCCCCAAAAAAAACGATTAGTTTTCTTCTATGCCTATAATGAGCTTGCTCAGAGATATCCAGAAAATAATCCCATTCCTAATATCCTCAAAAAAATGTCCTTAAGAATAAACCTAACCAAGGATGTGAAAGACCTTTGTAATAAAAAATACAAAACACTTAAAGAAATTGCAGACACTAGAAGATGGAAAGGCCTTCCATGTTCATGGATGAGCAGAATCAGTATTGTTAAAATGGCCATACCACTGCAGCCATCTTCAGATTCAGTACAATTCATGGCAAAATACTAATGACATTCTTCACAAAACAAGAAAAATAGCCCTAAAATTCATATGGATTGGATTAAGATGAGTAAAATCCTTGCAATCTCAGCATTTGGGAGGTTGAGACCAATTAGGACTACATAGTGAGACCAATGGCCCATGCCTGAACTTCTAGCTACTCAGGAGGCTGAGATCTGAGGGTTGCAGTTTTGAAGGTAGCCTGTTCAGGAAGGTCTATGAGACTTATCTCCAAGCAACTAGCAAAAAGCCAGAAATGGAGCTGACTCAGGTGGTAGAGTGCTAGCCTTGGGCAAAAGAAGCCAGAGACAGTGCCTAGGCCAAGTTCAAGCCTCAGAACAGAGACGTGTGCGCGTGCGCACGCGCGCACAGAGTTACTGTGCTCTATTCTGTTAAGAAATGTGATTAGGAGAAGCTCTTCGGTGGTTTTGTGGTGGCAGCAGACGGCAGGGAGTGCCCTCTAGTGTCACAGATACTGTACTGGCCTTGAGTCATGGGATCCTTAGCCCCACAGCATGTGGTATTTCAGCTCTTGGGCCTCAGTGGTCAGGTCCTCAGCCCTGGACAGTGGTGGTTTTACAGGTTGACCTTTAATTATTGAGATCCTCAGACCTTAATATGTATGCAAGTATTATTCTGGGATCTCAGATTAGGGGTCCTCAGTGTTTGACAGCAACCAGTGTTACACCTCTTTGACAGTCTTGCTGTGGCCTGGACCTGCAGTTTTTTTCTCCTCTATACCTCCAGTCCCTTTTTCTTTGGTCATACTGTGGTTTGGATTTGGGGCCTTGTACTTGTTAGATAGGCACTTGTACCCCTTGAGTCATGTCACTAGTCTTTATTTGCTTTATTTTTCAGGTAGGGTCTCATGTTTTGGTTAGTTTTTGTTTTTTGGCTGAGGGCTATTCTGAGAACTTCAGTCCCCCTCTTTTGCCTCCCATGTAGCTAGGATTACAGGTGGGTACCATCACACTAAGCTTATTTATTTATTTATTGCCATGGGGCTTGAACTCTGGGCCTGGGCGCTGTCCCTCAGCTCTTCAGCTCAAGGCAAGCACTCTGCCACTTGAGCCACAGCGCCACTTTCGGTTTTCTGGTGGTTCATTGGAGATAAGAGTCTCACGGACTTTTCTGCCCAGGCTGGCTTTGAATCACAATCCTCAGATCTCAGCCTCCTGAGTAGCTAGGATTACAGGCATGAGCCATGGGCGCCCGGCTTCCAAGCTTAATTTTGAAAAAGGGTCTCACTAACTTTTTGTTCAGATTAGACTTAAGCTGAGATCCTCCCAATTAACAAACACTGAAACTTTTTCACTTTATTCATGTGCTTTTAGTAGAAATAGGCTTATTAGTAAGACTCATGTATTTACTCTTGAAGTTTTCTGAATTTCTCAACCCTTACTTTACTAGGTTTTTACAAAACACTTTCCTAACAAACATGAAGAAACCAGATTAAACACTTTGACTGCAGTTACTATCAAAGCACATTGTACCTTGTTAAAGTGCTGCATACTGGGTAATTCCTGATAAATTATGCCTTTTATCACAGTCAAGATACATTTGTACCTTTTCAAATTAGAGACTTTTATTATAAGTTGCATAAAGAATACTAAATACAGTATCTTCCATTTGTAGGAAATGTAGCTATTTTGTAAGACATGGCCTGGCTTTGAAGAAGTTTGATGAAGCCAACTTTTATATAAATTTGTTGGTTAGCTAAAATGTTATTTTGAAATATGCCAAAAGACATTATAATCCTTTTTAACTGAATCAGCCTAAAAAAACCTGTTCTTGTAATCTTCATTTTAAAGTTATTTCTTCAGGATTCTGATTAAATGTGGTACCATATCCCATAGTTAGCAAGGCATGCTGGGTACTTCTGTCTTCCACAATAGGTTATGACATGACGGAATTAGATGGGTATATCATTTTAAAAAGATATTTTAGATCATTCAAAGTCACTAAAAGGGGTTTATAATAAAGTTTTCACAAGGTGAAGAAGCCTGGTAAGTTACGATTACTGCATTCGCTTTTATATTTGAATTTCTGTATGTAGAAGGTGAGATTTTTCAGTACCGAGTTCTTTGTGTTTTTTAATTTATGCAGGAATGATGTTAAATAAATCAAATTACAGTATATAAGAAGTCTTTGTTGGTATTACAAAATAAATTCTAAGTACAAAATATTGAAAATATAGATGGTTAATTGCCTGAAAATTGATAGTTGGATTTTCATTTTAAAAGTTGAAGGTTACAGACTGTGATAGACAATTTGCTCCAGGAAAGTTAGAATGAACTTGTGACTTTAAATGAACATCATTATTCCACAATACTGTGAAATTCCAGAAATTATGTAATCGCTTAATCACAATCAAAAAAAAAAAAAGAACCTCGGGGAAGGTAGGGAGGGAGGGAAAAAAAAAGTTGAAGGTTTTATTTCTCTCTCTCTCTCTTACACACACACACATTTTTAGTTGTTCATGGGACCTGGACTCAGGGCCTGGGCACTGTGCCTCAGCTCTTCAATTCAAGATAAGTGCTCTACCACTTGAGCCACAGCACCACTTCCGGCCTTTTCTGCTTATGTGGTGATGAGGAAGCGAACCCAGGGCCTCATGCATGCAAGGCAAGCGCTCTACCACTGAGCCACCTTCCCAGCCATAGGAAACATATTTTAACACTCATCCTGACCATTGTCTGACCTAGTTTTTAAAAAGTTAATCCTCAGCGTTGAAAATTTTTCTTATTTAAATGTTGCCTGTATAAAAATCAACCTCTACAAGGTAGGTAGTTCATAACAGACTTTAATTCAAATGTTTAAGATTTAGCTGATGTTATAAAATTAGTTTTTCAGCCTATGAAATGTGTAAGACATTTCTTTGTTTTCTATTCTCCCCGACTATCTGAAAGTGGAGGAAAAACTAGTATCAATATAGAATTGCATAGCTAAGTATAGAAGAAGAAGGAAATCAACTTGATCTGAGACAGAAAACTAAGGATGTATTGCCTGGCATTGAGCGAATGAGAGGTACCAGCGTGGGGACGCAGGGCTATCTCACCTGCCATGGCTAGATGTCAGGCCAACGTTTACGTATTCAGTATGTGAGAGGCTAAACAAATTCCCCACATCAGACACATAACGAGGGCATAGGCATAAACATCTCTTTGACAAATATGATAGTTACAGAGTTTATTTTAATTTTTCCCTTGGCAAAGGAAGTATTAGGATGTTGAATGTGCTATGCTAATTGAAAGCTACTGGCACAGTTGGAAATAGCCTGAATAAAATAATGCTTAGCCTGACTCCAGTGGACTGCAGATCCCCACCGTGGGGGCTTCTCACACGGGGTCTATGCAGCCAGAGAGCATGCAGCGGAGAGGAAGTTAGTGTATGCATGCATGATCCCTGGAATGCCCAAATTCCCTGGATGATTGAAGGAGAGGAAGTTAGTGTATGCATGCATGATCCCTGGAATGCCCAAATTCCCTGGATGATTGAAGGAGAGAAAGGCTATTGTGGTATAAAATGCAAAATCCCTGTGCTTTTAAAAGGTAATGAACTTTAAAAGAAGTGGGGCCCCACAGGAGATGGGGAGACATTTACCCTGCCTTTCCGTCTTTAGCTGGGTGCTGACCTGTTGATGAAGATTTCCAGCCTCTAGGATCTATGCATTTTTAGCTGGCTGCACTGTGGATTTTACACTGGTAGCATTCCCTAGGAACACACGGGATGCTGACAGTCTCTGAGACATGGTTGTCTCAAAAGAGTATCATCATCATGCACCATTAGACTGACAAGAAAGGAAGACAGATGCACAGGAGGTAGGCTAGGGCTGGAGCATAGATGAGTGTTTGCCTGACATACTGAAGGCTCTGTGTTCACTCCCAGTGCCAAAGCAAACAGTTAAGGCCAGAAAGAGCCTTTTTGTAAGTATTTAAAACTCATTTGTGTCATGAGGAGACTTAATGTTGACAGCACAGCAAATTACCCAAGATGATTTCAAAGTTGTGTCTTAAGTGAAACAGCCACTAATTGTGTAATTCCACTTATATAAGGAATCTGAGCTTATCAAACTTGATAGAGACAGACAGCAGAATGGTGGGTGCCAGGCTGGGGGTGAGGGGAATGCAGGTTGCTGTCTAAAGGGACAGCTCTCGTTTTACAGATTGGAAGCATCTGGAGATCTGTCTCCAACACTGAGAATGTACTTCCTGCCACTGAGCTATATACTTCAGAATGATCAAGAGGCTAGATTATGTGTTGAGTGTTGTTTGTTTGAGCTAAGCTGTATTACAAATATTCTTTCTTCTCCAGGCTTTCCTACATTTTCTTGTGTTCTTGCAGCAGATAAGTCAGAGTAGCAGCCATGGGGGACCCTGGCCTCTCCAAGCTGCAGTTTGCCCCCTTCAGTAGTGCCTTGGATGTTGGCTTCTGGCATGAGCTGACCCAGAGGAAGCTGAATGAGTATCGGCTGGACGAAGCTCCCAGGGACATTAAGGGTTATTACTACAATGGTAGGTGGCCTTAGACTGTGTCCTCCATCATCTGTGATCCCCTGTTCTTCATTGTGGTACCAGCTTTCATGATGAAGTCCAGGCCTCACTAGACAAGCATTCTACCACTGAGCCCCACCACCAGCTGTCAGCTTTCCTCTAGAAGGGGACACCCCTCAAGGGTGTCCCCCTCAGGGGATCCTGAGCTCTTTACTAGTGTTTTGTTCTCATTTCTGACTTTGTTTCCTTCTTGACTTTTTTGTGTGCGTGCTGGTGCTGGGGTTTGAATTTGGGGCCTAGGTGCTGTCCCTTAGCATTTTTGCTCAAGGATGGCTCTCTGCCACCTGAGCCATCGCTCCACTTCCAGCTTTTTGTGGTTAATTGGAAATAAGGTCTCATGGACTTTCCTACCCAGGCTGGCTTCTAACCACTGTCCTCAGATCTCAGGCTCCCAAGATCTGAGCCAGAATTACAGATGTGAGGCCACTACTACCCCCTTCTATATCTGTAATCCCAGGATTACAGATGTGAGGCCACTATTACCCCCACTCCCCTTCCTTCTCCCCCTCTCCCCCCCCCTGCCTTCCTGACTTTTGACCCAGATTGTCTTTACATTTCCCATCTAACAGGGAAAAGGGAAGGAGTAGTTAAAATCAAGTTATTAACCCAATAGTGATTACTTAGCTTACTGAGGAGGAGATTAGAAACACACACACACACACACACACGCACGCACGCACGCACGCACGCACGCACGCACACACACACACACACACACACACACACACACACACGAATCTTTTTTATACTTTAGGCAGGTCTCGACCGGTGCTATAGCCTGTCACATTCTGCCATTGTCTGTACAGACAGGTGTCAGCTATGCACAGAGAAGCAGGAATGAGTGGGACACTTGGGGTGTAAATACAAAAGAAGAAAACTGTTCACAGACATTTTTGCTGTGAATTCTGTTTTTCTGATTTGCTACTAAAAATGTGATTGTGCTTTTTTTTTTATCCAGGGGATTCTGCTGGGCTGCCAGCTCGCTTAACGTTGGAGTTCAGTGCTTTTGACATGTGAGTATTGATTTATTTGGGATCTAAAGTAAGGAACACTTTTAGGAAGGGAGGAGGGAAAATTGATTTAAATCCATTGATACATGCATGGAAATGCCACAGTGAAATCCTCCCTGTATAACTCATACCAAAATGTGGGTGGGAGATAAGGAACACTGCTTGCTCTGGATGAGGAGTGAGCATTTGCTCTCTGTGGACCGCAGGAGAAGCTAGCAAGGCACTGGGGAGCAGAGCTTGGGTCTCCCATCGAGACAACTGCCAACTAGGCCTATCCAGTTCCTTTTTTCCATAGGGGAAAAAAATACTTTTCAGAACTCTCAGTCAGTTTCTGATTGAGAGTTAGGTAATATTCTCCTATTGGTTGTATTTAATATTTTATTAGTGTATGTGTGTGTGATATTGGAGTTTGAATCAGGCCTCACCCTAGCGAGGCAAATGCTCTACCTCTTGGACCATGCCCTCAGCCCATTTTATTTTTCATACAGGATCTGACCTCTGCCTTAAGTATCTGGGGAATTGGTATATAGCACCATGCCTGCCTGTCTTGTCACCTCTGATTCCTCCTTTAGCTGCCTGTACATGAGCTTCAGTCAGTAAACATTTATTAGGTCACATCTGCATATGACCCACTGTGCAAGGCACCCTAGAGAGACTACAAAGGAATATGACACACACACATCCTTGAAGAAACTTTTTTACCCACTTGGGAGCTCTGAGAGTTCTGGAGGAGAGTTATTTATTGCACACTTAATTTCATAGTCATTTTCATAAATATATTCCTTCCATACCTGTCAGTTATGATTTTGTTCTTCCCTTTTCAGAGAACCCTGTAGGTCAAAATGTAACATAGCTGGCTCAAGGTCAGACCCGCTAAATTTAGAAAACAGTAGTAGTGAGAAAAATTTAAATGTACCTGGAAGCATTTTTGAAGTGCAGTCTGGGTTGCTAGGGGTTATGTCATCTTCTACAGGGACATAAATCAAGAGGGAACACATCTTGAGGAAAGGATACGCTGGGCTTCTCCATGTGGAATTTGAGTGCCAGTGTTTACTGGAAATGTCGGAGACCCAGAACAAAGGGTGAGGGCCAGACTTGATCAGGGATTTATCCAAATAGAGACCATGAGGCTGGAGGAGGGAAAAGAATAGAACATTAGAAAGATGAAGTGCAGGAGCAGTGAGTAGGCTTGCTCAGTGGAGAAAAAGGAGGCTGAGCTGGCCAGGATACGGATTGTTAGAGAGGAGCCAGCGGAGGAACTGTTTTCAGGAAGGTCACCAGAGTCAGAGTTCAGTGTAAAGGTTATTGGATTTGGTGACTAATGAATTTGGGTCCGTGTGGATTCACTTTCATGAAAGAGTTGAATTGTACTGTGTTGGGGCTGATTGAGAGCTGAAGGATTGCAGATATAGTGAGATTCACTTCTGCCTTCTGTACTTGGCACTCCCAGGACATGGGCCTCCTGCGGGTAGAGTTCTTATGAAGGACTGCCTGCCTGTAGACTATGGCAGCAGTCAGGTGGCTAGGCCCTAATGGCAGTGGTCAGTTAGTAGAACTTGTATCATACATAGTTCAGGTAATGTGTCCCTAGATTTTCTCAAAATATTGACACATTTTGTTCCTTAGAAGAAGTATAATATTAATTCAGAGTAGTGCTGATCTTTTTTTAAAAAGAGTAGTGCTGGTGTTTTTTTCCCCCTTCCAGGCTGTCCAGCTCCATCATAAATTCCTTGTGATCAATTGTCAAAACAAATTAAGTCCTACTAATCTCCTGTTTTGGCCAACACTGCCTTGCTTTTGCAGTAATTATAAGGTAATGGAGAAATATATAAGCACTAAATTGTCTATGGAGGGCAGGAGGACCCTTGGCCATAAAGGGAGCACTGGCCACCTGGACTTTGTGTGAGCTTTGTGGGTAGCTCATCTCGGCCCCACTCCATCCTGATACTAGACTGAGATTCTATTTATGTTAGAGGATTTCAGTCATGTTATTCTTGGAAACATTAATTAGGAAAACGCAGTGAAGTTTGATCATACTACAAAATGGATAACCCAGAAATTCCTGCTGCAGACCATCTCTGGCCCTGCAGCTGTGATCGTCAGACAGGTTTCTGGGTCTCCTAGACGTGTCTGCCCTCTTAGCCACAAAATCCCTTGGTTTGCAGACAGCCGCAGAGTGGGGAGTAGGGAATGATCTCCAGTGCTGTGAAATAGCTCTGGGTGCGAAATATCAGACCTGATGACCTAGGGTGAAATACCTGTGCTTCCTTAATCAGTCCTGTTCCTTTCCCTCATGTGAGCTGTGTCTTCTGTTGTTTCTTCTTGATTTAAGGTCTGATTTTGTAGCTTTGTTGAGGAACTTTAATGAGATGCTCAGAATACAGGAGTTACTGTCATGGTTTTTGTTGTTGTGTATCTATATGTGTTTGTAGAGAAAAATGAACTTATTCATCAGGACAGATCCATACTGTGCAGGATGTGTAAGAGTCAGGAACGCAAGGACTTGCACTATGCACACAGGAGAACGTAGAAACTTGGATTGTGGTGTGCTCAGTGTAAGAAAGGTGAAGAAGCAATCGTTATTTCAGGAATATTAACTAATTGTGTCTTGGTGTCTTGATGAGAGATCTTGGTAGACACTGGGCATGCAGAAGAATGCAGAACTTCTCACTTCTCCAGACCCAATTTTCCCCATGACTTCTCTCTTCAAGCCTGCCTTTGACTTCATCTTACCTGGATGAAAAGCGTTCTTTTAGGACAAACACTCAGCTTCTGAGGAAAGACTGGGCATTGAAAATTAGCCCTCCCTCATCCTCTGGCATTTGGAACCTTAGCAGGTGCCTTGGCATTAGGCTCCTGATACTATCCTGGGTTTAGATCTCTTAACCCCATTTTTATAGACTCAAAATGGGAAGACAGTGGAGCTTTTGTCCCGGAAGCTCCCATCGTTAGACAGAAGGAGAACAGTAGTATTCCACTAATGTGTCATTCATTTCATATCTGTAATCTAAGAAACACAATCACTTCAGAGAAGAGAGATTTGTCCACATCTGAATTTGTATTCAGAATCCACTGCCCTTGTCCTGGCTGATTTCTCTGAGGCCCTCTCAGCCTCCAGGGTGCTGCAATTGGTGAGGGCTTTGAGGCTGGAGCCAGAGGTTGACAGGAAGTCTAGACAGAAAGAATGTGTGTTGTTATCTCTGGCACTCAGAGGACCCTGGGCTTTGCTCAGCAGGTACCGTGTGCAGAGCTATGTTTGGGCTGTGCCAGGTTGTGGAACAAACAGAAGACTTGCTCACGGCCCTTGGGGAACTTACTGTCTTCTAGTTGGCTGTATATGATTGTCATATTTTAAACTGCTCTGGAATATGCTCTATTTTATGGGTGAACTATTACCAGAGAAAATGGGAGCAGGCTTCCTGGAAGAGGAGGGATGAATCAGGGCCTTGGAGATGGGGGGTTCTGAGCGAGGCCTGGGCCACAGAATACCTTCCATCATGTGGTTCTGGTTTTTAGCTTCATCTTCCCAGTGTTATGTCACCGTAGGTGAATTTCTTAAATTTCCAAGTGGGAAAAAAAGCCATTCTGAGAATTCAGACCTTTGTAGTTCAGTGGTGTTCCCCTCTTAGGTTGAACACAGGATGCATTAAAAACTAGGACATGAACTTCTTTTTTTGTTGTTGTTGGTCGTGGGGCTTCAACTCTGGGCCTGCGTGCTGTCCCTTAGCTCTTCAGCTCAGGGCGAGAGCTTTACCACTAGAGCCACAGCTTCACTGCTGATTTTCTGGTAGTTAACTGGAGATAAGAGTCTCACGGACTTTCCTGCCCGGGGTTGGCTTTGAACCGCATTCCTCAGATCTCAGCCTCCTGAGCAGCTAGGATTACAGGCGTGAGCCACCGGCACCCAACAAGGACATGACCTTCTCCTGAGACAGGTGGAGAACATGAGGCTGACCCCTTCTTTTAGTCCTTGAGCAGTGCTATTCATACTTTTCCAAAGAAATGTGTCACAAGTCTCCCTGCCGCATTGAGCAGTCCTGTGGCTTGTCAGTCCTCATTGGCTCAGAGTCTCCTCTGGGACTGACTGTCTTTTTCTTGGGTCCAGGAGTTCCCCCACGCCTGCACGCTGCTGTCCAGCTGCTGGAACACTGTATAACACCAACACATTAGAGGCTTTCAAGACTGCAGATAAGAAGCTCCTTCTGGAACAAGTAGCGAATGAGGTGAGCTGGTTAGATGTTTTCTCTCTATGCTGACAGGTTGCTTTTCCGCATCAGACACATGGGTCTGTTGTAGATACTAGTACATAATAGATATGCAAAGAGGTTAGTGAATTTTAGTTTATTACCCCAGAGATCTAGTGGCCCTCAGCTGACTTACAAGGCACCATGCTGGCCCTGGCCTTCCCTGCCTCACTTGGAGCAAACCACTGATAACTCCTTTGCTCCCTTAATTCTCTCCTCTTTCCTCTTCTTTCTACCTGCAGTGTCTTTGCTTTGCTTCTTCACGTCTGCATTAAAGAATTAAGGTGGTCCATTAGAAGGAGGGAAAGGGACAGTTTATCCCACTTAATTGAGAGATCTTTAGCCTTAAAAACAAACATCGCCTTATACGTTTTTGATTCCAGGATGTATACTAGAGCAGCTATTGTGTAAATCAGTGTGAAGGATCCTCAGAATATCAAAAATAGAACTAGCATAGGATTCAGAAACCCACTATTGGAGAACATCAACAAAGAGATGAAATCATTGTGTTCCAGAGCTACTACCCTCCCATGATCATTGCAGTGCTACTCACTGCCCAGATATGCAGTCAACCAAGATGTCTGTTGTGAATGTATAAAGCAAATGTAGTAGACATGGAATATTAGCCATAAAAAGAAGAAACCCTGTCATCTGTGGCAATGTGTATGGGATTGGAGGACATTAGATTTTGTTGTTGGTGGGAGTGGTTGTGTGGCTTGAACTCAGGGCCTAGGCACTGTCCCTGAGTGCTTTTGTCCAAGATTAGTGCTCTACCACTTTGAGCCACAGCTCTACTTCTAGTTTTCTGGTGGTTAATTGGAGATTAGAGTTTCACAGACTTTCCCACTGAGTTGGCTTTGAACTGCAATCCTTAGATCTCAGCTTCCTGAGTAGCTATGATTACAGGCGTGAGCCACCAACACCCAGGGAGAAGAGGACATCAGATTAAGTGAAAGAAGCTAGGTACAAAAAGACAAATGCTATGTGCATATGGAATCTAAAACAATTGATTTAACAGAATTGGAGAGTAGACAACAAGTTAAGACCATTAGCTAGGAGAGAAAAGCCCTAGTGTGTTACAGAGAGTAACTAGCTGACAGCAATTTATTACATATTCCCAATAACTCTCTCCAGAAGAGAGAATT